ATCAGCCCCATGGTCACTGCTCTGGCCCAGCACAGGCAATGGCAGTAGCCTGACCCAGCTCAGTGCCAGGCCAGGGAGTGGCCAGAGGGGGAGGCAGTGCTCTGGGCAAGGCAGGATTCAGGATGACAGCAGACAGGAAGGAGAGACCCCAGCACAGGCCAAGCCAAGTCTGCACCTCTCGTTGGGGGCCCAGCTATCTGCTCCTCTCACAGAAGGCTGGTTCTCTGAGTGCTGTGTTGAGCTGTTGCAAATGCGTGGAGAAGCCTTCCCATCCCTGGGGAGCAGGGAGGAAGGAGGCTCTCACCTCTCTGGCCCCTGACCTTGCACAGGCAGAGGGGAGAGCCAAGCCAAGTGCTGTTTGACACGCCTGACTTCGTCCAACTGAGGCGAGTGAGTGGTAGGGACACAGGTGGAAAGGTGCTCCCCACTTGCGAGGGACTCTGCATAGCAGAGCCTAGGATCGGGGTGCTCCAACACCCCCAGAAATCTTCCCACTTCTTAGAGGTGCTGATGGCCCAAACATCAGGTGCTCACTGCTCTGTGGGGCTGGCCTGGTCTGCAGTCTGTCACGGCCTCTAGTGGTGCCACCCACAAGTCACCTGAGACCTCTTTGGTCTCCTTGATGTCACCCTTCTCTTCCTCTTCCTCTCCATCCTCCCTGGCCCCTGAGGGAAGCTTCCAGGCCTTGCCTCACATTTGGAAACGTCAGCCGGCTCTCTGCTCCAGGCAGTGTCGTGCATCTCTGAGCTCTGCTCCCAGGGAGCCAGGGTGGGCACCGGTGGGCGGCAGTGACACTGGCGGGCAGCGGCAGCACTGGCAGGGAGCAGGCACACCACTGCTCCGAAGTGGCCTGCACATGAACAGCTGGATCTGCCAACCAATGCCCCCGGGCAAGCGCCGAGGGAGGGACGTGCAAGTTCCTTCAGCAGCACAGGAGCAGTCTGTGGGTTCAGCACCAGAGCTCGGAGACAGCTCCCCACTAGGTCCCTGCAGATTGGGTGACTTGAGCCAGAAGGGGTGGAGGTTCTATTTTCGAGCACACCTCCTCCCTCAGAACCCGCTCCCACCTGAACTGTGCTTCCCAATGCTGCCACAAACTGCCACAGATGACCAGCCCCTCACAGTCCCTGTCACCTGTGCATTCTCCCTGGAGACTTTCTCATCTTCACTAAGACGAGCGCACTAACCTAAATAAAGAATGACTCCAACGGGGTGACTTCCTGGCCACATGGATGAAAACCTTCAAGGCACCAGGTCTTGTCATGGCCCCGAAGCCACCCGCCCAGGCACCTAGCCCTTCTTCACTGTTGAACACCCCTGGTCCTTCTCCTCCTTCTAGCCGGGTGACCGGCAGAACCAGACCGCAGAGCTGAGTAGCAGCCCAAGGCTGGTGCTCCCTGCCCCGGTGGCCTAAGATTGTGGGCAGCTGGTCCAGTCCAGTTGGCACCCACGGCCAACACTCTCTAGCCAGGACGAAATGCTGCCAAGGAACACGGAGGCATCTAGAGTACAGGGCAGCAAGAGAGTGGGCGGGTGGGGGGAAGCACATCACTCACAAACCACCTGGGAGTCAGTTCATGGGCTGAGGAGGAAAAGTCTCTCCACAGAGGCCTGGAGGCCTTCCTCAGCTACGCCCCGGGGTGAAGTTAGAGCAAGCTCATCAAACCGCCAATGGAAAGAGCAGAACTACACCAGCACAGAATCCCCAACCAGAGGGGAAAAGATTGATCATTTTGATTACACTACAATTAAGAACTGTAGACAAACTGCAAATTAAAAAACAAAATTAAAAAAAAAAATGTTGCCAGAGGTCACGTGTGCTCACCAGAGAGAGAGAAAGTGAGGAAGTACTCCCCATGGGGGATGGCCATGCCGCAATTCCTTCTCCTCTCTCCCTTCGGGATTTTTGGAGAGCACATGGGCCCTGCGCTGTATCTTTCTCAGGCCACGGGTCCAGGACTCGACCCACACAGTCAGCCATGTGGGAACCAGCTGCCTAAACCACCACACCACCAGCTGGCCCAGAGATGTTTTTGACACAACTCACACAGGTTTCATAAACTTCACGTATGCGTGTAAAGGACTATGACTCAGGGGACCAGCAGTTGGCGTAATGGCTATGTTGCTGGACTCCCCACGTAGTCGACCGCGGTTCGCATCCCGGACCTGGTGACTTAAACTCACGCCAGGCGCGTGTGCGTGCGTGCCCAAGATCCCAAGAGGAGAATGGAGGAGAAGGGATTGTGGCATGGCCATCCCCCCGGAGGGGGTGATTTCTCGCTTTCTGTCTCTCTCTTTCTCTCTGTCTGTCTGGCAAGCGTACGCGCCCTGTAACGAAAAAAACTCTCAAAATAAAAAAAGGACTATGACTCAGAAGGACCCCCAGCAAAAAGGTGGGTAACAACAGGAAGGGGCATTTCACAAAGAAGGAACCAGTATGGCCAATCAATGTGGTGCTCAGGTCCATGGGGCATCGGGGTGTCCTAATGCCTTTACCCCTCAGCCAAGAAGTCTGATAACCTAAGAGTAGTTGAGAACGTGGCCCTGTGGGGACCCAAAACCTGGGGACGTGAATTGGTACAGCCACTTTGGAAGACCACCCAGTATTACTAAGTAAAGTTGAATGTTCGCACTCCCTAGGCCTCAGCCATTGGGCACCCAAGTCTGCACTCAAGAGAAACTTACACAGGTGCACCAGGTGACATGTACAAGAAAGTCCACTGTGGCCTCAATCAAAAGAACGCTTAAAGTAGGGAAAAAAGTCCATATTCAGGAAGCACCAGTAAATGATCGCGGCATGGCCACAAGGCAGAATGTTACACAGCAACGCCAAATGAACAGACAGCAACATGGGTGTCTCTGAAACCGAATGGGGAGAGAGCACGTCGTGGAGGCTGTGACAGTAGACGCTGGTTTTACAAAGCTCAAAGCGAAGACCAGACCTTAGACTGTTTACAAATATGAGCATATGGAAAAAACTAATTAAAAAAAAAACAGAGATGATAAACACAAAATTCAAGTTACAGGTTTCCTCTGGGGAGAGATAGGGGCTAGGTGAGAAGAGGCTTAGGCAGACACAGGGTCTGGGGTAGTATTTGCAATCTTAAATTGGATGGCAGCCTCATGAGAGGTTATTTTATTAGTGGGCATCATAGCATTAATTACACATAACATACATATTATATATAATAGATACTAAATATGTAATTGTATATCATTATTATGCATTAATATATAATTACATACGGGGTAACATAATTTGTAATTATAATATATTAGTACTGTATATGATATACATTTGGACATGTCAAAGTCACATAATAAATATTAATTTAAAAACCGTATGTATTTCTACATCCCACAGACATACATCATGCATCCCCCCAGAAACACACACACTCCTACCCCTCTGATGTGGGGACACTCATTGCCTTTAACTCTATTCTCCCCCAAAGTACCTAGCGAGCCCCTAGTCACCAGCCTTTCTCCTACAACAGCATGAGAGGGACCCTGGAAAGCCCAGTACCGGGGAGCAGGTAGGCATCACCCACCCTCCCCACCCCCTTTCAGGTCTCCCTAGTCTCAGCCCCAGGAACAGGCTCAGGAAGGAGAGAACCCAGAAGCTACGTGCAGCCCATCAGTACGGCAGGCAGACAGGACCCCACCTGCACGGCCCAGCTCAATCCCGCAAGTCAGTGCTTATCAGCTCCCAACCATGAACGCCGTCCCTGCCAACTCATCCCAGAGAGGGAGAGCAGGGCCCTGCCTGGGCTGCACTGTGCAAATACACTTCCTCGGCACATCAAATGTGGCCAGGCGTCAGCGTGGAGGAGCAGGTAGGAGGCAGGCTGAGCAGGTGGAGGAGAGAACTAGGGAATGGCAGTACCAGACAGAACTCAGGAAGCCTCCCAGTGTGGTGGGTCATGGACCAGCAGGGGCTCTGGGGGGATGAGCTCTTCTTCCTCCTTCCCACCCCACTGAGGTGCAGAGTGGCTCTCCCCAGCACTCACCTTTGCAGCTCCTTCAGTGAGACTGTGACCCGCAGACCATGGCCCAGGACATAGAGTGTGGCCAGGATGTCCGCCCACTGCACCATCTCCCCCAGAGGCCCACCCTTCAGCACCCTCGGGCTGAAGACGTCCCCAGACTCCTCTGTCAGGAAGCCAATGTGGCTATAATAGATACTAAATATGTAATTGTATATCATTATTATGCATTAATATATAATTACATACGGGGTAACATAATTTGTAATTATAATATATTAGTACTGTATATGATATACATTTGGACATGTCAAAGTCACATAATAAATATTAATTTAAAAAACCGTATGTATTTCTACATCCCACAGACATACATCATGCATCCCCCCAGAAACACACACACTCCTACCCCTCTGATGTGGGGACACTCATTGCCTTTAACTCTATTCTCCCCCAAAGTACCTAGCGAGCCCCTAGTCACCAGCCTTTCTCCTACAACAGCATGAGAGGGACCCTGGAAAGCCCAGTACCGGGGAGCGGGTAGGTATCACCCACCCACCCCACCCCCTTTCAGGTCTCCCTGGTCTCAGCCCCAGGAACAGGCTCAGGAAGGAGAAAACCCAGAAGCTATGTGCAGCCCAACAGTACGGCAGGCAGACAGGGCCCCATCTGCACGGCCCAGCTCAATCCCGCAAGTCAGTGCTTATCAGCTCCCAACCATGAACGCCGTCCCTGCCAGCCCATCCCAGAGAGGGAGAGCAGGGCCCTGCCTGGGCTTCACTGTGCAAATACACTTCCTCGGCACATCAAACGTGGCCAGGCGTCAGTGTGGAGGAGCAGGTAGGAGGCAGGCTGAGCAGGTGGAGGAGAGAACTAGGGAATGGCAGTACCTGACAGAACTCAGGAAGCCTCCCAGTGTGGTGGGTCATGGACCAGCAGGGGCTCTGGGGGGATGAGCTCTTCTTCCTCCTTCCCACCCCACTGAGGTGCAGAGTGGCTCTCCCCAGCACTCACCTTTGCAGCTCCTTCAGTGAGACTGTGACCCGCAGACCATGGCCCAGGACATAGAGTGTGGCCAGGATGTCCGCCCACTGCACCATCTCCCCCAGAGGCCCACCCTTCAGCACCCTCGGGCTGAAGACGTCCCCAGACTCCTCTGTCAGGAAGCCAATGTGGACGAGGATCTGGGAGGGGAGAATAAAGGGTCAGTGTGGAGGAGCAGCAGCCCTCAGGCCTGGCCCCCATCCCAGGGAGACCAGGAAGCAGCAGACACGATCTCCGGGCCAGGTCTAGGCAGGTGCTTTCTGGCACGAGAGTGACTGTGCAGGCTTGGGGAAAGAAGTGAACAAGACAGTCATGTGCCTGCCCTCCCAGAGCTTACGGTCCAGAAGGAAGAGGTGGACAACAGTAGACACAGACAAGAGGGAATTTCATGAAATGGTGAAGACTCTGGAAAAAATAAAGAGGGCGAGATGAGAGAGGGAGGGCTGGATGGATGGACAGATGGATGAGTAGATGGGAGAGTGGATGGATGAATGGGGAGGTGAGCAGATGAGAGGATGGATGGGTGGATGCATGGATGGGAAGCAGAGGGGTGGGGAGACAGATGAATGAGGTGAGTGGGTGGGCGGGTGGGTGGAAAGGGCAGATGAGTGGGTGTATGGGCAACAGGTGGAATGAATGGATGGGTAGTGGGTGGGTGGATGGATGAGTAGGTGGGCTGAATGGATGGAGGAGTGGGTGGAATGGATGGAAGGGGGACTGGATGGGAGGATGGCTGGGGGGATGAATGAGGGATGGGGGGGGAGGGAGGTGACTGGATGGAAGGATGGCTGGGTGGATGAATGAGTGATGGGTGGGTAGGTACATGGGTAGGTGGGAGGGTGAAGAGATCCAGATGCCCACAGGACACAAGACCCCTCAGAGGGCTTGTCATTCTGCCTGACCTTGAAAAGGACCAGGAGTCATGACATGCATCTATCTTTTTCTTTTTCTTTTCTTTTCTTTTCTTTTTTAAGAAAGAAAGCAATTTTTGCTATAGGGCATGTGCACTTTCCAGAGAGACAGAAAGTGAGAAATCACACCCCCCAGGGTGGATGACCACACTACAGTCCTTTCTCCCCCATTCTCCTCTCAGGATTGTGGGCATGCACACACACATGCCCAGTGTGAGTTTTAAGCCACTGGGTCCAGCACTTGAACCGCGGTTGACTACCTGGGAGTCCAGTGATGTAACTGTTGCGCCACATGCTGGTCTCATGCATCTACCTTATCTGCTCTCCCCACTCCTCTCCACCTTGGGACACATTTGGAGAAACCCAACACAACTGTCTAGAGGGCCTGCCATGTCTCCGTGGAGTCACGGGGCCTTGGCACAACACCACGCTCTCCGAACTCGGCTCCCTGGATGGGCAGAGTAACGTACCTGCTTCTGCTCCCTCAGGTGGCCCCCCAGCTTCTGTGCCAGCCGCTGGGCGGCCAGTGCCCACTGGGCCGTGAGCCGCTTGGTCCTCTTCTTCATGAAGATCAGGGACTCCTTCCCGCTGCCCATCAGCTCCAGGAGGTGGGACAGGTTGCTCCGGAAAACAGCCTGGAGGGGAGTCCAGCCCTCAGCTCACGACCCACAGCCCGCTGCCCTGCAGACAGGGGCTGGCACCCTCCTTTGCCCACAGCCCTGAAGTCAAGAAGGCTGGCTCTCTCCCACACTCACCCCCAGCCAAGGTGGTCTGTCCCAGCCCAGCTCCCATGGGCCACCTTCCCCGAGCTCTCATGGGGAGATGGTCAGCTCTGACAGTTCCCGAGGACCCCCCTCCATTACAAGGGGCAGGGCTCAGACAGCAGGAGGAGCACCCGGGAACTGGTTAACTGAGCTCAGACTTGTCACCTGTTAAACACCATCACAAGGACAGCTGGGAGATCCAAGAACCAGCAAAGAGTCTGGCTTCCAGAGAGCTTCAGTGAGTGACAGCTATAACTACTAATCTACCCCACTGGGGGTGCCTCAGGGTCCCAGCCTGCCCGCAAGGAGCCCAGCTTTGCAACCCCCTACACAATGGGACAGGCACTGCCAGGCTGGCTCCGTCTGCCTAACAGACCACCCGGCAGAGGGCAGCCTCATTCCTGCCAGGTGGATGCTCCCCTGCTGCCCCTGCGGGTGTCCAGTCCAAGAGGCTAGCTGGCCTGCCACCTCCCAGGCCTACCTGGACTTTGGGGAGTGGCTTGGGGGCCATCCGGGTGGCCGTCTGGTTCCTCCAGGGTAGCGGAGGGCAGAACCACTCGACCTCACTGAGGTAGATGAGGAAGGAGCACTCGGTGCCATCCACCCCGAAGAAGGCGTAGCAGGGGTCGGAGGTCCAGCGGGCACGCATCCACTGCAGAGAGGGCCAGGCTGGGCAGGGAGCCGGTGCCCCTGCCCCTCACCAGGCTCCCCTGCGTGCACAGCCCCGGGCACCCTGCATCTCCCAGACAGGGCCTATGTGGCCGCCCTACGCAGTAAGGGGTGGGGCCGAGAAGAGAAGCTGCACCAGGCAGCTGGTCGCAGAGGACCCCATGGAAGCCAGGGGCAGCAGGACCACCATCCTGCAAGCCTGGAAAGAGGAGGGTCCTGGGAGAGAAGGCCGGGTCAGGACTCATGAGGGCAGTCAGAGGGGCCGCGTGCAGGGGCCAGGTGTCTGTCTCATCCATTAGTCCCCACCCCAGGTTACCCAGAGCAAGATCTGGCTGGGGGCTAAGGTCAGGGATTGCTGAGGTCAGGAGCAAGGGCTGGGGCAGAGCAGGACCCACGTCAGTGGTCCTCGCAGTCACTGGGGAAGGGCCCACCTTTAGGGGTACAGAGCTGCTGAGGAGTGGGTTTTGCGGCTAGGGCTGGCTTCCTCAGGGGACAGACACCATGCAGCCAGGAGTGGGCCTCTGAGGGCTAGAGGCTGGGCCAGGATGCCGGGGGTCAGTAACCGAGGCCCACTCCTTTCCCAAGTTTGTTGAGAATCAGGCTGCAGGAGGATTGGGGGAGACACGTGTATGTCACAGGTCGTTTGCTGTAAAAGTACCAAAGTCGCTGAACTCCCCGTGACTCATCCTGGGGACTTCGGGTGGGAGGGCTGGGTGGGCGAGCAGGCCAAGAGCCCCTCACCCATTTCCCTGTGGTTGGCCACTGCCAGTCAATGCCTGGGTCAGAGACCAGGGGCAGGGCACGGGGCCCTCGGTTGAAATCATGCCAGCCAGGAGCAGAATCCCAGAGCAAGAGTGACCGCCCCTCCAGCCGCCAGCCACCCCGCAGCTTCGGCCTCACCTCTACTTTCCCTGAGCAGTCAGGGAACTTGGGGTCACTGGGCGCCTCACACTGGTCCCGCCGGGCCTCTGACACTGTAGGGAGAGGTCAGCGTGCTGAGATCGTGGGTCCAAGAGCCCAAGGGAGGGAGGTGCATGGAGGGTCTGTGGTGGGCAGGGCAGTGGCCCCACAACCCTCCACCTAGTTCCCACCTGAGAGGCTACTGGCCCCACAGCCCACCTGCTGGGGTCCCCAGGCCTAACATGTTCTCTCCCACACCTCTGGCTGAGAGGTCAGACCCAGCAAAGAGCTGGCCCTCCAGACGGGCAGACTCCCTGCACTCACCAGACATACCCTAGCAGCCCTGAGAAGAGCAGAGATGAGGCCTGCCGCCCCCACATCTGGGGGAATCGAGGGGCCGCCGTGAGCTTCTCCGGGTGCCTTGCTCTTAGAACCATCAACCTGAGACTCCACAGACCTCCTTGTGCCAGGTCAGGGTGGGGTGAACCCCAAGTCACCCCACTGAGACTGAAGTAGGACCCAAAAGCTGGGCGAGCCACTGGGAGAAGTCAGGCCCTGCCCAGGTGTCCGACCACCCCGGCTCCACAAGTACCCAGCCTCGGCACCCAGGCGCGGGCCCTCCATACCCACCCTTGCTATGCAGGAGCAGGCTGTGCCGCAGGATCTGGTCCACCTTCCCCGCGATGTCGGAGACGTTCTGTGCGATTGCCTGGATCCGCTCCATGAGGACAGCGCCGGCAGGCAACCTGGGCAGGAACCAGGCAGAGGCCGTGAGAGGGTCTGGGCCACCTTCCCGGGGCCTGGGCTAGTGAGCAAAGGCAGCGGGGCTGCAGCACTCCAGCTACCCAGCCCCCCCCCCCCCCCCCAGGGACCACTGGGGGACGAGGCTGCACGTGTGCCCAGAGCAGGTCTGTGCGTGTCCACACAGGGAGCTGAAGCTGGCGGAGGAATTCCGGGCAAGAGCCTGGACAGGTGACCAAGGCCTGTTCCCAGACACGGCCTCTCCTCAGTCCGTTGCTCCGTCTCTTCCCAGAGGGGCTGTATCGTGCCAGAATGAAATCCCCCCAGTCGCCTGGGGACTCGCCAACTTGAAACTCTAGTAAATGGCCACTGGCTCCCTGGGCGTGCACCCTTCCAGGATGTTACGAGAGGTCCTAGCACGGACACCCGGCCTCCACCTCGCCCTCGGTGCTGGGCCTGCTGTTACCTCCGGAGAATGTACTTCCTGTGCCGATGGCGCCGCAGCTCTCAGGGCCGTTTTGGGCATCGATGCACTTACCTCCTCGCAACCACGCTCGGGGCAAGGGCAGCCAGGCGTCCTCCAGGAAGTTCTTGCCATTTTCGATACTCATTATTCCGTTTCCCCTGATTCTCACCCCACCCTGGCTCTGCAGGCCCAGGGCAAGCTCCCGATAGCTCTATCCCTGGCACCAGGCCCTCACTGCTACATGTAACAAGGATTTGCAAAGGATATTCACAACCAGGCTCTACCCTGTCTGCAAACCCCATGTCCTCTGCTCTTCAGGGCTGGACGCCTGCCCTCCCCAGCCACCTTCCCTCCCACCTCCACATGGAAATGGAGGAGCAGCATCCGAAGAAGGTGACAAGGGAGACAGGTAGGGACAATGCAGGGAGAGGGGTGCAAAAGGCAGACGACAGGGCCTTTTGCTTCACTGCCCCGCTGAAAGCAGGATGGGTCATCCGCAGCTCTACTGCAGCCACCCGTGAAAATTTGGCCAGGGCTCTCGCTCTCGCCGTGTGTGCTCGAACAGGCGCGGTCTGATCCAAAAATGCGGCCTCGACGTGAGCCACCAGTGTTTCCGTCGGTGCACGAAGGACAGAGGCTTCAAGTTGAACTAAATGAGCTTCCTTGAATGGACTGTCCAAAATATCCACCCAGTAAAAGAAATCATGCTGGCTATTTGTATATAAAATAAGTAAAAAGACAAAACAAAACAAAAACCCTTCAATTAAAAAAAAAAAGGCAGATGACAGGGAAGGGGAAACAAGGCCCCATGTACACGTGTGCACACACACACATGTACGAATTGTACATGCACACTCACGTATACATGAACACACACAGTCCAGTCCGTTCCCTTCAGTTTTGACAACTTTGGTCAAAACAAATAAAGAACTCTTATTTATTTATTCACTTATTTAGGTTTTTCCCTAGGGCATGTGTGCTCACTGGGGAGAGACAGAGACAGAGGGAAAGTGAGAAATCGTCCAGTTGGGGTGACTGTGGCCATGATGCAATCCCTTCTCCTCCATTTTCCTCTCAGGATTTTGGGCACACATGCACATATGCCCAGCGTGATTTTCAAGCTGCCTGGTCTGAGACTCGAACTGAGGTCAGCCATGTGGGAGTCTAGAGTCTTAACCACCCTGCCACCTGCTGGCCTCCACAAAAAACTCTTACTGGTAATCCGTGTCCGTATTCATTTCCTACGGCTGCCACAAACAAGTGCCTTAAAGCAACACAAAGTTGTCCCCACATTCTCAGGACTGGGGTCAGAACTTGGGGTGTCAGCACGTTTGGTTCCCTGAAGCTCCAGGGAGGCTGTCAGGCCTCTTCCAGCTCCCACTGATGGCCACAGTCCTCGGCATTTCTCGGCCTGCAGCTGCATCACTAAAAATCACTTGATCTCTGCATCCATCTTCATGTGGCCAACTCCCCTGCGGGTCTGTGTCCGGACCCTTCCTTACTATAAGGACACCAGCCCCGAAGGGCCCAGTCCACGAGGATCTCATCTTAATCCGTTACACCTGCAAAGGCCCTCTATCCAAACAAGGTCAGGTTCACGGGTCCTGGGGGCGAGGACTTCAGCATATCGCTTTGGAGGGCACAATTCAACCTGCAACAGCATTCTCTCAGATTGCAGGTGTGAGAAGAGGCTTGAAGGACAGCTGCTGCTTTTGCTCAGACAGTCTTTAGACAGGAGGAAGCGGGATATTTCTCATCAGTCCTCAAACTGTCAAGGAGGAGACTATTCTTCGGAGCTGTGTGGTTCTGGGCAAGTCCCTTACCCTCTCTGTGCTCACAGTTCTCATCTTTTAAGATGGAGACAACTCTGGTTGCTACCTCATGGACTGGAGTGCGGACACAGACATCAGGCACACAACACTGGCCCCGCGCAGACAGCACCACGAACATCGGTGATCTCACCGTACTGCCGCAGTGGATGCCGTGGTAAAAGGGGTTCAGACTTCTCCGTTATTGCCCTCCCTAAGGTTCCTTGGCTGTGTCTCCCCACTCACCTCTCCCCGCGAAGCGTCCGCCTCACACCCACACAGCGCACGTTCATGTGCCACGGCCTCGTGGAGGGCCACGAGCCACTGCGATAGCTAAGGTCATTTAGCCTCTCAAGAACCAATGTTCACAGGCCGGCTGGTGGCACAGCACTAACCCAATGCCCTGAATTCTAGACCCACGTGGAAAGGTTCAGAGTTCGCGACCTGAAGACTCTCTACACACACCGGGTTGACCCGGGCTGGCCAGCAGCAGAGCGTGGCATGAAGACCCTGTTCGGGACGCCTGTCTCTCTCAAAGAAGAAATGAATACATGGACTTAAAAATCAGAAACAAGAACAAGTGTTCACCCTTTGGGGGAGACATGCTCCCACTGAGAATGCACAGGTTAGACCCAAGAAGGAACGTGCCCATTCAATGTCCACCAGGCTCTGAAATAAACTCCAGGGGAAGGCGTGGCAGTGCTGTGCACGGCGACCTCCAGGGAAGGAGGGCAGGAGGGCAGGAGGGTAGGACGCTGCTCAGCTGACAGGGATGATGCCCGAAGACAGGAGGAGGCACCCACAGTGCAGGGGCCGGGGCGCCCTGGGGCATGGGGCAGAGCTGGCACCTGTCCTGCCTTCTCACAGAGACTTGGGACAAGCAGCCCAAGTCAGGAACCAGCGGGGCGTCCTGCCAGATCTCCAGGGACTCTGCAACAGATCTTGCCCGCTTCGACTCCCTGAAAACACCTCTCCCGCAGGAACCGGGTCACTTCTCTGAAACTCCCAGGCCACGAGGTGGTTAGGGATGGCTGGCCTGAAACCCCAAATGGAGTCCTGAGTCCTCAAGGACAGAGACGCTGCTTTAGTGAAGAGCCAGCACTGCCCAACATGGGTCACGGCCCTGGGACTCCTTCACTGTGAGCTGAATGGGGTCCCGCAAATTCAGGTCCACCCAGAACTTCGAGTGCGCCCTTATCTGCAGATGGCAGACGTGACGCATTTTGCATAGAAAAACAGAAAATGCATCATGACTTCTCCGACAACCTACTAGCTAAGATGAGGTCGTACGGGCAAGTCTGGCCCTTGAGCCAATGGCTGGGGCCTGAGAAGAAGGCGCGGGGATGACGGAGGCAGAGACGAGAGTGGCGCATCTACAAGCCAAGCAACGCCGGCATGGCTGGCCACCACCTGGACAAGGCAAGGAGGGAGCCTCTCCGGAGCCAGTGGCGAATGCCTGGCCCTGCTGACCCTGGGGTTCAGGCTTCTGGATCCAGAACTGGGAGGGAGTGACTTCTGTTACTGGAAGCTGCCCGGTTTGTGGGCATCTCTTACGGCAACCCTAGGAAACTAATACAACCACCATCTGCAGAATTGAGGGAAAACGCTTTCTAATCCATCGCAAAAAGAGATTTGGGTTCTCCTGGCCACCCCTGCCGTCAGGAAGGTATTTCCTCCAACTGTGTTCAGATTGCTGAGGCTCAGACTTAGTTCTGCTGCCCTCGTGGGGGATGGAGAAGCCGGGGGGGCCTAGATTGCTAAGCCCTGTGCCAGCAACCCCCCACACTACCCAGATTTACGAGACACAACGAAAGTCCTGGAGTCAGAGGCCTGGACTCAAATCCCACCTTCACGTTGCAGTTATGTGAGACCCCGGGCAACTCCCCCGGAATTCTGGTCTTAGTCCCACAGAAGCTGAGCCCCAGAGCCAGTGTGAGGACTGGAGTGGGGTGGGACGTGAGCGTGAGCGTGGCCCTGGCAGGTGCTCAGGAAATGCTTGCTGTGCTTCCCCCCCTCCTCTCTGGTCTTAGTCCCACAGAAGGCTGAGCCCAGAGCCAGTGTGAGGACTTGGAGTGGGGTGGGACGTGAGCGTGAGCGTGGCCCTGGCAGGTGCTCAGGAAATGCTTGCTGTGCTTCCCCCCCTCCTCCCAGCAGTCATCCCCTGGCCAAGGGACGTCGGAAGCCCAACTACACAGCAAAGCGCTTTACTTGCTTAGGGATTCAGCCAGTTTCCTACAATAAGCGATTTTGCATAAAACACATCACTAGCCCGGGCCTTAGACAGTGCAGATGGCATCTGTCTGACGTGACGAGTTCAGCTTGTTAGAGACAGGATGACCTGGAGCCACTGCTATACACGGGCTTCACACGGCACTTGCTATTTTCAAATAATATATGATTAGCTTCTTTCTCTGGTGCTGTTTTGCTGTTGTTGTTGTTTTAGTGACAATAAAAGTAGATTTCTCCAAGACTCAAACCATAGCACATCTATGATCTGAAAAGAAAGGTGGGAAGGAGGAGAGGGGACAGACTAGGAAGGCAGCGGGCGGCTGCCTCCAGCGGAAGCACCCCGGGAGCCCACGGCCTCGGCGTTGTCATGGGAGAGAAAAACCAGGGCTGACTCCACCAGGGCCAGGACATGCGGTGCCGGGGCCCTCATGCTTTTAGGGAACCATCAAAATGTTTATTTTAAATCTTGTAGATGAATGAACATGTTTTAATATGTTAATAT